GCTTTATTGGAAACTGAAGCGTTTAAAAACATACGCACTTTTGCGACAAGTAATATATATATATATATATATATATATATATATATATATATATATATATATGGTTCCAGCTTGAAAAGCACGGTTTTGGCTACACAAAAACGTATACATTAGACGTTTGACACATCGTAAGAGTAATCGTAACATCGTAAACATCGTAAGAGCTCGTCCTTACGATCTGAGTTAAGCATCAGTGTATAAATATATTGATGCTGCACTCAGTACTCTTTGCTGTATGTCTTACCAGAATTTAATACAATATAGTGTATCATTATGTAATATGGAAGAGTTACATAATTCTGTATTATATACAGTTATATAATATTCAGCAAAATTATATAATATACGGCATGTAATTATGTAAAATAGCATAATTATAGAATGTACAACATAAAATGGTACAATATGCAGCAGTTATGAAAAACAGCATAATTATATTATATATAGAAAAATTATACAGCATACGACCTATAATTTTATAATACAGCATCTTTATTCTTTGAATAATTATTGCATAGTTATTCAAAGAATAAAGATGCTGTATATATTGTATACTTATGCCTTATTTTATATAATTATGTGATATATATATATATATATATATATTATATAATATATATATATATATATATATATATATATATATATATATATATATATATATATATATATATATATATATATATATATATATATATATCACTCGTAGAAAACAGCATAATTTCATAATACTGTTCACAATATAATTATTACTATTAAGGGCTTAGCTGTTTTCATTGTGTATTCCTGCGTGAATTTTGTATCAACTAAATCAATGATAAATATACAAACATTTATGAATACAGATTTTGAATTTGTTCATGTAAGTTTACCTCAAGTTTACTAACTTATTACTTGGAATACGAACCCATTCATTCATTCATTCGATTCATGTATAAATATACGTAGATATTACTGTATCGTTCACTCCATTAAGCTGCAGTAGTTCGTAATTCAGGTGATTAGCTGTGATTACTACATTGTTATTCATCATCTATTAATTAATTAATTAGATTTCACTGTATGCATGTTTCTTTATGTATAGAAACTAGCCTATACATACAATCACATGTGTATATGTACAGATTATGGCCTATACATTCAAGCACATGTGTATATGTATGGAATATTGCCAAAACACACAATCACATGGGTATATGCTTAGGATATGACTTATACATACAATCACATGTGTATATGTATACATACAATAACATATGTATATGTACAGAATATTGCTAAAAATACAATCAAATATCTATATGCATAGGATATAGCCTATACACATAATCCCATGTGTATATGTATATATCATGACACATACAAACACATATCTATATAAAATATTGCCAAAAATACAATCACCTCAATACTATGTATATGCATAGGCTATAAACTATGCACGCAATCCCCTATATGTATATACAAATGTATGTATGTATATTTATACATATCCCCCCCCCCAAAAAAAAATAACAATTACGTATATTCATCAGACAATTAGCCTCACCATTGGGTACCTCATATATCTTCAATAACAATCTATAACATAAATTGTTCTGTAGATTCTGTTTTCATCAATGAACACCGAACATTAAGAACAATAATCATACAGGTCTTATGTATGATCATTGAACAATAATCATACAGGTCTTATGTATGATCATTGAACAATAATCATACAGGTCTTATGTATGATCATTGAACAATAATCATACAGGTCTTATGTATGATCATTGAACAATAATCATACAGGTCTTATGTATGATCATTGAACAATAATCATACAGGTCTTATGTATGATCATTGAACAATAATCATACAGGTCTTATGTATGATCATTGAACAATAATCATACAGGTCTTATGTATGATCATTGAACAATAATCATACAGGTCTTTTGTATAAACATTGAACAATAATCATACAGGTCTTATGTATGATCATTGAACAATAATCATACAGGTCTTATGTATGATCATTGAACAATAATCATACAGGTCTTATGTATAAACATTGAACAATAATCATACAGGTCTTATGTATGATCATTGAACAATAATCATACAGGTCCCCTGTATAAACGCTGAACACTGAACAATAATCATACAGGTCTCCTGTATAAACATTGAACAATCGTAGAGATCTTCAGTATAAACATTGAACACTGAACAATAATCATACAGATCTTGTAGCTACAAATTAAGGAAGACATGAAACACATCATAGGAACTAATACATTAACGTGTATGATTTATCAATACATAAAAATAGTTAATAACTACATAAATAGAATACATAATTTATTCTTTATATCTAATAATACTAACCCGTTTTCTTAGTAATACATCTGTATGGCTGGGCTCTATGCACAAGCATACAAAATAAGTTGCTTTATTGAAAATAAAAAGCAATCTTTCTTCATTGGAAATAAAAAACATTTAAAACGTACGTTCTCTCTCTCTTGTTTTATTGGAAATAAAAAGCATTTAAAATGTACGCGATCTTTCTTCATTGGAAATAAAAATGATTAAACCACACATGTCTCTTGCTTTATTAGAAACAAAAGACGCTCTCGCCGACTACTAAGCCTGTCTAACATGACCAGATGACTCTATGAAGTGTATCACAGCCAGGGCTGCTCTGAAGCCTACATTATAGATGCTTCTCAAATCGCGTGACCGACCTGAATACACACCACTACACACAAAATTAACTCACAACTTAATTATAGAAGAACTTTATAAATAATAATTTGAATTGTATAAGAATTGTGTAAATAATAACTATATAATTAACATTTTATAATTTTATGTGATTATCAATTTTTTTTAATTTATAATAATTTATATAATTAGGTAATTATATCATAATATAATTATGTATTTAATATCAATAATTATACAAAGCGTCTTAATACTAATAATTAATATAATAACAATTGTGTTAAAATAATATCAATTATTTACATTTTTCGTAATATATATATATATATATATATATATACACACACGACATTAAATTACTTGCGAAAAGCAGTTTCATCCTGGGAGAGCCATCTGAGCAACACTTCATTAATATTGCATATATCAGAACTTAAGCTGAAGGATATTGCAATCCTTGCTCGTAAAGTTATAGCGGACATACGAGTATGTTGGAACTCTTTAAGAGCCCTGGTGTTGTAGCTGGAGCTCTTTAAGAGCCCTGGTGTTGTAGCTGGAACTCTTTAAGAGCCCTGGTGTTGTAGCTGGAGCTCTTTAAGAGCCCTGGTGTTGTAGCTGGAGCTCTTTAAGAGCCCTGGTGTTGTAGCTGGAACTCTTTAAGAGCCCTGGTGTTGTAGCTGGAACTCTTTAAGAGCCCTGGTGTTGTAGCTGGAGCTCTTTAAGAGCCCCGGTGTTGTAGCTGGAGCTCTTTAAGAGCCCTGGTGTTGTAGCTGGAGCTCTTTAAGAGCCCTGGTGTTGTAGCTGGAGCTCTTTAAGAGCCCTGGTGTTTTAGATGTACCTCTTTAAGCCCCGGAATCGTGTGGGTGGAGCTCTTTAAACACCAGTTTTGGATAGAGCCCTGGGTGGATTGGGCATTTTAAGGCTCTTGGCGTTCTGGGTGGAGATCTTTACGACCCTCTGTAGTGTGGGTGGAGCTCTTTAAATCACCTGGCGGTGTGGTGGACGTCTCCACGCTTCCTGGAAGTGTGGTGGACGTCTCCACGCTTCCTGGAAGTGTGGTGGACGTCTCCACGCTTCCTGGAAGTGTGGTGGACGTCTCCACGCTTCCTGGAAGTGTGGTGGACGTCTCCACGCTTCCTGGCGATGTGGTTGCGGCTCAATTCACCTATTTATGTTGTGAATGGAGTCTTTTGAATGAAGTCACCTTTTACCCTTTGGACTCTTGAGTCTAGAGCTCTATACACCTTTAAATCGGTGTATTTAGAGCTCCTTACACCCATCACTGACTCCTACATAATCCCCTGATATTGTTTTAGTAAGTTATTGCCAGAAGGTCACAGTCTGGCTACAAAGAAATTGGATGGGGGGGGGGAGGCGGGGACAAATCCACGATATTAACCTCTGCACTGCTACAGATGTCATTTGTGATTACTTTGTGTACTCTAGTTGCTATCAGTGATTAATTTATATGATGCAGTCTCAGGCTGCAATAACTTTCTATGATGCAGTCTCAGGTTGCAATTACTTTCTGTGCTCTGTCACTAGCCGAGCTTTCCTTCTGTGCTGCAGTCGCTCTCTGTGATTGCTTTCTGTGGACCAGTCGTTATCTGTGGTTAATTTCAATGCTCCAATCACTAGCTGTGATTTCCTCTTATGGACAAATTGCTATATCACCATATGCGAATTTCCTCATATGATTTGTTTGATATAAGGACAAACATCCATAGATTTGAAATTTAGAATTTTGCAACATAAATACTCTGTAAGATATCGCCAATTGTCTAATGTTTTGTTTGTTTATTTGTCAGAAAGTTCTCACCAAATTGACTGGGAGATGGTTTCTTCAGTAACGAATTGTAAAACATTTTCATTAGGAACATTTTGAATCTGCCTTAATACAGATTACAAAATCATGTAATTTGAGTATTAGCATCGGTTTATATAATTTAGGTACATTTTTGACTGATCAGTTAAAGAGCAATTTGAGTCAGATCATTAATACACATTTATCTCACTAATACCTTATTAATATCCCATTAAAGACATTGTACCTCACTTCACCTCTTCCCCGCCTTTATATCCACACCTACTGAACTATAAATCCATCCTTCTGAAGATGTATTTTATATATATATATATATATATATATATATATATATATATATATATATATATATATATATATATATATATGTGTGTGTGTGTGTGTGTGTGTGTGTGTGTGTGTGTGTGTGTGTGTGTATTATTAAAAAAAAATTTCGGGGGGGGGGGGCCATGTTGGGACACTAAAGACATCATTAAAGAACTACGCTGATAATTTAGACCTTATATAGTGATTTGGCAATTGGCAGATGAATTATAAAACTGAACATTTGAATATTAAGAAAACTTACTTTGTCCAAGCATCTGTCGTGTAACAATTTGGTCCATACGAGGCAGCTCCTGTTGGTACATACGATCCAGCTCCTGTTGGTACATACGAGGCAGCTCCTGTTGACCCCATACGAGGCAGCTCCTACTTACACCTACTCAAAGACATTCATATATATATGTTTAACCTACGCTTGAAACAGTATAGTAACAAGGTGCCGCTTAAGAACAATGGAATGAGGGGTAGCGCCACTACGAGATGTTGTTGAAGACAATAACATAAACTGTTGCGTTATATTAGGAAACTGAACTAGAGTTATACAATGATCTGGGGGTCTAGATAATATAATGACATTACTGGCATATAATGATCTGGCGCTCTGGATAATCAAACGACGCGAGAGTCTTAATGGAGCTCAATCTGAGTCAACATCACTAATTAGGCTGCTAGGCTCAGAGCTGAAGTTCAACTGGGACTCTAAATGAGGTAGTAACACCAGTAGCAGACGTTGAAGAGGCCAAACACAACAGGGAAAAGGATCCGACACCACTCGTCGATTCTCCTAGCCTTCATCTTGTTGGTTTGAGTGAGGGCCTGAACGAACTGCACCGGTAGAGTGGTTAGTTCCTCCGGGGTGCCCTTCCCCCC